TTCGGAGATGGGGATGGATTTCGTCGTAGAGAGTGAGAGATGGAGATGGGACTGAGTGTTGTGATTTTGGGTTTGAGGTTATGAGTTGCGATTACTGTGGACGGTTCAGTTTCCGATTTATTAAGAAAAAATTCGTGTTTGGAATTTGAAAAAAAAAATACGCGTTAATACGAATGGCGCTATTAAATCGCGTTTCGAAAGTCAAAATCGCGTTGCGAAAGTCAGTATCTCGTTGCGATTTTGTATTATCGCATTGCGATAGTAAGTATCGCATTGCGATAGTCAGTATCGCATTGCGATTTTCCCAATTCGCGTTGTGATTTACTTATTCGCATTGCGAATTGGGAAAATCGCAACGACACTGTAGACCATCGCAACGCGATTTCCAACTATCGCAACACTGTCAAGATATACCAAAAACAATAAACATAAATAGTAGTTTATTCTTGAAACTAAAATTTGCAACACTGTTTTGTCTTTTGGTTGAAATGAAAATCGCAACGAGATAATGAGAATCGCAACGCGGAAATGAGAATCGCAACGCGGAAATGACTATCGCAACGAGAGAATCGCAACGCGAAATGACTATCGCGACGAGAGAATCGCAACGCGAAATGAAAATCGCAACGCGAAATGAAAATCGCAACGCGAAATGAAAATCGCAACGTGAAATGAAAATCGCAATGCGATTTTGGTTTCGCGTGCGATTTTTATTTCGCGTTGCGATTCTCTCGTTACGATAGTTATTTCCGCGTTGCGATTTTCATTCTCAAAACTATTCTTCTTCTGCATTACTTCAACCAAAAGACAAAACAAAGACAAATACTAACTTCACAGGCTAAACAGTTTAGCAGTATTGGCAGCAATCGAATGAATTTAATAAGAAATCTAAGTGAAATGGTTAATCTATTATTGAAATTACCAGTAAACTTATCATCAATCTCAATATGAAAAACCTAAAATAATGCAAAAATTTCAAAAAAAAAAAAAAAAAAAACTAACCCTCGGAGGTTGATTTTCCATTTCTGAATATTGTGAGGGATTTTTGACTGTGAATGGTTGTGAGGGATTTCGCCAGCGATGGGGACGGAAATCTTCGGAGATGGGGACGGATTTTGTCGTAGAGAGTGAGAGATGGAGATAGGACTGAGTGTTGTGATTTTGGGTTTGAGGTTATGAGTTGCGATTACTATGGACGGTTCAGTTTCCGATTTATTAAGAAAAAATTCGTGTTTGGAATTTGAAAAAAAAATACGCGTTAATACGAATGGCGCTATTAAATCGCGTTGGAAAGTCAAAATCGCATTGCGAAAGTCAGTATCTCGTTGCGATTTTGTATTATCTCATTGCGATAGTAAGTATCGCATTGCGATAGTCAGTATCGCATTGCGATTTTCCCAATTCGCGTTGCGATTTACTTATTCGCATTGCGAATTGGGAAAATCGCAACGACACTGTAGAGCATCGCAACGCGATTTCCAACTATCGCAATGCGAATTTGCGATAATGGAGATCGCGTTGCGAATTAGCGATCGCATTGCGATTTTGTTGGTCATTTTGGCAAATCCGGAAAAAGTTGGTTAAAATCGTATATTATAAGGCATTTTTGGTCACTGAGGCGATTTTCTCAAATAATATATATATAATATTAAATATTTAATAATTTTAATTAATTCGGTTAATTAGCCGATTTCGAATTGAATTAATAATCGAAGTTTAAAAAAACATTAATCGTTAACCGACCAAACCTAAAATTAACCGACCAAAATTGCAATTCGGACGGTTAACTTGATTTTAATCAAATTATGAACACCCCTACTCATGGAATTTTTTTTTGGAAAAATAGTTAAATTAGGTTTATATTATAGGGTAAAGTAAACAAATGGTCCCCTGTAACATCCTCAACACCGAGTTAGTGACCAAATTATAAAACTTCAGAAATTAGTGACTAAAGTAGATAAATTGAATAGTTCAAGGACTTATATGGAAAATTCTGTGTAGGACTAAATAACAAAGAATGATGAAAGAAATGGTAAAATGGTCATTTGATCAAGAAATGAATTAAAAATATGATATGGTGGAAATATATACACGTGGAGATTTGAAAAAAAAGGGAAAGATTTCTTCAGAGAGCTCTTCTTCTTCTTCTTCTTTCAGCCGTGGTTTACCATAAGCAAAGGTGAGTTTTCTTGTGAGTTGATTATTCGTTGAAATTAAGTTTGGTTTATGATCTTTAGATGATACTTAATCTTAAGGAAAGCTTAAGCTGTCTTAAAACTATAAGATAAAGGAGTTAGAAAGGATTAAAGATAAGGGATCTCTAAATGAAATCTTGGGAGAAAGGTAGTAATTAGATTTTGAGACTAGAATTGACTTGTCATCAGCTAAATTAAGAAGTATAAAGTGTTATAATTGGAATTAGAACATGTTGGAAAATTGGTAGGATTCTTGATTTCAAGGCATAGGATGAGATTTTGAAGATAATGATGGTTTATATGAATATAAGTTGATTTGAGTAATGGTAGTTGAGTTTAATGGTATAATAGGAGCTTAAAAGGGAAGGTTTAGATTGGTATTGGTGAAATTTTGGGTTGTAAAAGTAAATTCTGGGCTATGAGTATCGATACTTCTTCATCTAGTACCGATGCTTCAAGGGTAAATGACGGAAATTTGGAGTAAGGGTATCGATACTGGTTGAACAATATCGATACCATAAGGCCAAAATTGATAAGTTATTCATAGAGTATCGATACCATTTTGAAAATAAAGATCACAAAATCGAAAATGGGTATTGATACCCATGCTTGGTATCGATACCATAGTTAGGAAAGTATCGATACCATACATTGGGTACCGATACTACTCTAAGTGGAAAGTGGAATTAAGCCTTTCTTTTAGCTTAGATTATTAAGGATCGAACTATGATACTTAGAATGCTGATATGTATATAAAATGTATGATTGTGTAGATATTGAGCCTAAACAAGTTTCGGAACAATCAAAGAGTTAAAAAGGATCAAGAGAGAGAAAGTAAGTCATATAAGTGATTGGGATCAAGTGAGGCTAAAGTGAGTGCATACTATAAGTTTAGTTTTATGGAAATAAGACTTGTGATAAGTTTATTTCCTATGTTAATGTTCATGGTCCAATAGTTATGAACATTCATATTATGATCATTATAAATACATGCATAAGTGATATATGTTTATATGTTTTGGTACATGCTATATGATCCATGTGAACCTAATCAAATAACATATGCTATATGATATGAGATTGATAGTTATATGTACATGTGATATGTGACAGGAGATAAGACATATGTGGTTATAAGAGAAATAACATGAGTACATGAATATGTGGTGAAGTAATGATTATATGAATATATGAAGCATAATGATAATGCCCATGTTTTGTGATAGGAGAGCTATAGGTATAGTTTTCATGCAAAGAGTCGAGGGTTACATAGGTCCTTCGGGACATATACATAGGTTCTTCGAGACATATACATGAGGTCATTCGTGACAAATTTCACATGCCACTCAGTGGATCCTTATACGAGTTGTGGTGACAACATATGTGCACAACCTCAAGATACTCACATACCTTCAGTTCTATATAATATACATGGGCACATAATATATATATATATATAAGAGTTTACTTTCTTATGAGATAACATGTTATTGTTTGTTAAGGATAGATCATATGTGATATGATTAAATAGTGAACTGGTAATTGTGATGATACATAAAATGAGTGAATTGCATGTTCATACATTAGGAAATGCATTATTATATTTATGCCTCACTAAGTCTATGACTTAGAGTGTAAGTGTTCTACACGTAGGTACTGAGAAGCAAGAGGATCATGCTTAGGACCCGCAGAACATCATACATTCACTCGAAGATCAGATCAGAAGTACTTTGTACAATATGTCTTTTATGTAATAGATATGTTGGCATGTAAACAAGTCGTGAAGTACGTATGCTCTGATCGATTTTGTAATGTTTTGAACATACTTACGTAAATTATTAACTTTATGTTAATGAAAGTTTAAATTTTCTATGATTTTTATAAATTTAAACGCTTTGAATAGTCAATGTGACACCTCAGATTCGTACCCGGGTCGGGTACGGGTTGAGGGTGTTACATCCCTGACTATAAGATGTTATTTTTGTTGAGTCTTTCGATTATTAAAAGTTACAAAATGGTTCTCTAATTATAGGATGTTGTTTTGTTGAGTTCATTGACTATTAAAAGTTACAAAATGGTCATCTGACTATTCATATATTCCAAATTCATCATTTTCTGTTAAAATTGACGACAATCTGAGCTGAACATTAACATGATAACTGGGATATGATAGTTGTTTGAAATTATGAGATAATATTTTATCATATAAGGTCAGCAAATTAATGTCCATCTTAGACAGTCGTCAATTTTTTAACAAAAAAAGGCGAGTTTGGAACATATGAATAGTTGAATGACTATTTTATAACTTTTAATAGTTAGAGGATTCAACAAAATAATATCCTATAGTCGGGAGACTCAATAAAATATTGACCTATAATCGAGGACCATTTATGAATTTACCCTATATATTAATCAATTGATCACATTGATTACTTTTAAAAATTTAAAGACTTAATTAAAGGAAAAAAACTTCAAAATTAAATTGATTTGTTTATTTTATAAATTTGTAGACTTTTTAACCTTACACTATTAATTTAATAATTGAACGATTAATAGCAAAAGTTGGTAGTGGCAACAAATTTAACCTTTAAATGTTTCCATTTGCAAGTATTTTATAAAAACAAGAACAAGACAAATATGAGGAACCCAAGCAAGGCAATGACAGAGAACTAAAGCAAGAAACTTTAATCCTTTATTTGTTTGTTTATTGATTAATTTATTTTTTGAGTGGCAAAAATGATCAATCCGAAGACAGACAGCTTTAAGCTTTGCTTGTTATGTTGGCTATGCCTTTTCTTGTTTAATCTTGTTCCATTAAACAATGGAAGATATTTATTTTCTCTTCTTTTTTCTCTGCTCTTTCTTGCTTGGATCTGATCTGAAATAGCTTAAACATATTAACAAGGCAAAATCCAAAGCTGTTTCGCTTTTCTCTGAAGACAAATAGCTCCTTATTTTCTGGTTTTTCATCCCATGAAAGATTTCACCTTGCCCTCCATTGCTTTTGCTGCTCTATGATCAGGTAGCTTGGTTTTGACCACTTTAAAGCTTTGGGTTCTTTTCTTTTTGCTTTGTTGGTTATGTTTTTGTATTCATGCATTGAAAAATTGATTTATTGGTTTCCACAACTTGAAGATTTTATAATCAATGGCTTTATCATAAGAGTTACGAGCGAGTTTGGTTTGTCATTGGTTGGTGTTTGTTGAATTGTCTCGATGGAATCACTTGTGAATTCTTCATCAAAGAATCAAAACTCAGGTCCTTCACCATCCCATTTACCTAATCTCAGGAATGGTGTTAGGATCATTCGACATCCAAATGGTTCCATAGGGTATCAAAAACATCCACACATGCACAAGAATCATGAAGAATTGCCTACAATGGAAAAACAATATTACGATTCAAGCAAATGGAAATCTGAATCAATGGCCAAAATCGAGGTTCTTATTGCTAACCGGATGAAGAACTTGGCACTGGAAAACAAATCTTCTTCATCCAAGCATCCCATGGATGATACTGTATCTCAATCAGAATCAAGCTTTTGTCAAAGTCCTTCAACTAACACGTCCAATGGCAAACCGAGTTTCACCAACACTGTGGTTAGTGAAAATGGAGGTTGCAGTGGTGAAGTGAGTAGGAAAACACGCATTCCAAGAGGGAGCACTGGGAGTGATTTCAGTGATGAGAGCAGTTCTAGTTGTTTAAGCAATGCCATTTACAAGCCTCATAAAGCAAATGATGTAAGATGGGAAGCAATTCAAGCTGTGAGATCAATGAAAGGGGATTTGGACTTTAAGCACTTTAGGGTGTTGAGGAGATTGGGATGTGAGGATATCGGCAATGTTTATCTCTCTGAATTGACTGGCACCAGGACTTATTTCGCCACGAAAGTTATGGATAACGCTCTTTTGGCGAGTAGGAAGAAACTTCTCAGAGCACAGACTGAGAGAGAGATTCTTCAATCACTGGATAATCCATTTTTGCCAACTTTGTATACTCAGTTTGAGACTGAGAAGCTTTCTTGCTTGGTTATGGAGTTTTGCCCTGGTGGAGACTTGCATGCTCTCAGGCAAAGATAACCTGGAAAGTACTTCTCAGAACAAGCTGCCAGGTTAGCCATTGCTCTTCTTATCCGTTTTCATTCTTCTTTATACTCCAAGTTGCCATTGTTGGATTTTTAATTTAACAGCTACATGTATTTAAGGAAGCAATTTCATGTTAACCTATGTTACTCAGACTTGAAATAGGATTGTAGAGTGTATATCGAATATAGAGGTACATATCCATGTATTTGGAAGATCCTTAGAGTGTCTTATCCCTATTCTCACGTCCGTATGTGACAACTTGGAACTTTGGGTCGTATCTCTGTACTCATGTCTGTGTTTTTCCCAAGTTTTCTTACAGAAACCGTGGACCCGTTTCCTGTTATGCTGTGTGTTTTCAATTTTTTTCTATGTTTTTCAAAGTGTTTGAAAGATACCTAGAAGGTTGCGTGTTTGTTTCTCTTGCTTAAATCCGTTTATGCATTGGACACGAGCAATGAACGGAAGGGTCCGACCAACAAAGCTATATCGGATGTAAAATACCAGCACTGGTGTTCTCATTTCACAATGTTGTTATTTCGGTTCCCTCTGAAGAACCTTAATACGAACACGGAAAAGAAACTTCATTTGTTGTCTGAAAATGGGAATAACTTGTATCTGTTTGGTCATAATTCATATCCAAATCCGTCACATTATCATCACTCTTGTCAACAATGTATTATCTGGGTTATTTTGCGGATCCCTGATCAATGTCTTGTTAATTCAAATATTCATGTTCTTGTTAATGTCTTGTTATTCCACTATATTGGATGAAAGCAATGCCTGAATTGATAGAATATTACAGTGAAAGAGACTAAAGCCTAGTAGTTTACTACTAATTATTGTAATCTGCTTTCTTCTTTCTATATCTCTCTGCAGATTTCATGTGGCAGAAGTTCTCCTTGCTCTGGATTATCTTCACATGCTTGGGATCATTTACAGAGACCTTAAGCCTGAGAATGTTTTGATAAGAGAAGATGGTCACATAATGCTCTCGGATTTTGACCTCTCACTTCGATGTTCCGTCTCTCCAACTCTCGTCAAATCTTCAAACTCAAACCTGGAATAAATAAAAAAATCGGCATACTATACTCAACCTGCATGCATTGAACCAACTTGTGTAATGCAGCCTTATGTATCCAACCTGCATGTTTTGGACCCCGGTTTTTTTTAAGCAAAGGCAAAGAAAGACAAGAAGAGCAAAGTAAAGAGCGAAATGAATCATCATGTGACCCGAGCTCATTACAGAACCTACCAATGCTCGGTTGATGTTGTTCACGGTGTCACAACCGTCTTTCGGGTGGGTCCGGAATTAGACTTCGACTTAAAAAAAATGAGTTAGAGTCGCCACCGATCATTTTAAAAAATATATTCAGGCTGATCGGATACCATCTTACCTGATATGCGTTTTACCATAAATGTGTCGGATTCGGGAGTCGGTTACAGTCAAAGAAGGATTAGCACCCTTGTACACTACTGTCCTTTTGGTACCAATTAATTTGTCGGTTGTCTTAATCGCGAAAATTAAAATTAAAATTTTAAAACTCGGTTCGAATAGCTTACCTTTAATTGATTGAAATTACTACTGAAAAAAAGTTGAAAATATTTTATATTGTAAAATAAAAATAAATAGAAAAAAGAATAAAAAATATTAATATAATAATAATAATAATAATAATAATAAAATAGATAAATAAAGATAAATAAAATTGAGTAAAAAGAAAAATAATAAAAATAAAGAAAATAAATAATCGAAATAAAAATTATAATAAAAAGGGGTTAAATTTGAAAAAAAAATAAAAATAGAAAAATGTTAAAAAAATAAATATTGACAAAAAAATCGAAAAATAAATAAATAAAAAATGATCAAATTAAATTAAATCGGAATTTATGGACTGAAATTAAGGCTAAAAATGAACTGTAAGAGAAAGAAAACAAAATTAGGGGGTAATTCTAATTCGCAAAATATAAAAAGTATAAACATGGATTAAATTGAACAACTTGAAAATTCGGAAGTAAAATTACAAACAGTGAACGAATTGAATTGTGCTTCAAAATAATAGGGACGACGGAAAGGATTTAAGAATCTTGTATTTGCAGAGAGGACCCTGATATATAAATACCCAAAAAAAACCATTTCCAACTCATTTTCACCATTTCCCTCAAGTGTCATCCTCCCCAACCCAAGAGAAGCTCTCAACCCATCCAACCGGCCCCGATGGCCAACCACCGTTCGGTGGCCTCCCCGTTGCGCCGACCATCGCTCTTGTGGTCGGAAAAATAAAAACTCTCACTAAATGTTTCCCTCGTCACCCCGAAGCAATGTTCGAACCCTAAATTTCCATAACCAAACCCAAATAGCGTAGATCTAAAAAAAATCGTTCGGGTTTTTACCATTTTGGGCAAAAAATCCTCTCTCTTTTTTCCCGATGTCCCTTCCCCTTCCGACGCTCACTGAGGGCTCCTTATGATTATTGGCTTATTGGATGTCCGAATGTGATTTCCTTGATAGCTTTGCTTTAAATATTACTTTGTGTCTCAGTTTTTTTTGTGTACTGTGTGTGCTTCTTTTTTTGTATTGGTTGTGGTTCCAGTGGCTTGTTGATCGTTGTGTTTCCTTGTTTCAACTTTGTTTTTGTCGTCTTTGATGTGTTTTGATGTTGGTTCTGTGGTTCTTGTTTTCCCCGATTGACATATTTGGTGGGGTATTTATACCCCACCACCAGTGCTCGTTATTTCCGCCCTCAACGGGATGTTCCCTCTATAATCGGGTTGTTTGGCCGTTCGTGCGACCGGTCATCCCGTGATGGTTTAGTCTAAGGGATCTCGGCTGGCCGTTTCACGTGCTTGGCTCTTGACTTCCTTGACCGTGCGGTGCCCTCCTGCTAGCTAGACAGGAAACCCTAATCGGGTTAAGGCTGGGTCAGGCCCAAACCCGATTGGGTTTCCTACTGGGCCTTGTTGGACTTCGTTTGGATCTAAAAAAAGAAAAAAATATTAATAACTATAATAATAATAATAAAAGTGAAATAATAATAATATATTATATATATAAAAATATTTCCAAAAACTATATAATTTATATATTTTCAAAAATATTTTAAAACTATATATTATATATTTTTAAAAATGTTTTCAAAACTATATATTATATAGTTTTCAAAAATGTTTTAAAACTATATATTATATATGTTTTTAAAAATGTTTTAAAATTATATATTATATATATTTTCAAAAAAAATTTCAAAACTACATATTATATAAGTTTTCAAAATGATTTCAAAACTATATATTATATAAGTTTTCAAAATGATTTGAAAACTATATATTATACAAATTTTCAAAATGATTTCAAAACTATATATTATATAAGTTTTTAAAATGATTTTAAAAACTATATTATATATATATATATATATATATATATATATATATTCAAAATGTTTTTAAAAACTATATTATATATATTTTTTCAAAATTCATTTGTAAACTATATAATATCTATATATTTTCAAAAATCATTTTCAAAGCTATATAATATATATATTTTTAAAAACCGATTTTTAAACATTATATTATATGTTTTCAAAAACCGTTTTCTAAAAAATTATATATTATATTTTTCAAAAATATTTTCAAAAACCATACTATATTAATATATATATAATAATAAAATAAAAAAATCCTGACGAAAATGAGTGTTTATAGCTGCCCCTCTTTGTCCTTTTTCGTGAAACGAAAAATAGGATAAAGATAAAATGACATAAATTTTCATTCGGCATGAAGGGGTCCATGAGTCTAATATCCTCCTTTGTGGAGGTGAAATTGAATATGATATTGCAATTAGGAATAACTCCCCGTTAAATTGAGTTGCAGATGACTCATCCGTCGTGAAGTCGAGTCTGTCTTGAAATGATATGAAATTGAAGCCGTAGTTTGGAATCTGAATAGGGATGTGGCTTCTTGTTGCCAAATTGTAGTCAAATTTGGCCTTCTTCTCGGTTTAAAGACCTTGGTTTGAAAATTCGACTGGAAAGTAATTTCTCGACACTACCATGTGGTTGATAGGTCCTCGAGCTGAATGAAATCGAACTCGAAAGTCTTCATTGACATATAGTTTTTCTTGACTTAAGCTATGCTGCTAGAAGATAATTTCTTGTCACTAAAACATAATTAATGTATATCTTCTTCTTGACTTAAATACCTCGGTTTAAACTTCGACCGAGAAGTAGTTCATCGCTGTTACTATGCGGTTGATATGTCATCGAGCTAAATGGAATCGAACTCGATAGTTTTTTTTGACAAATAGCCCTTCTCGCCTTGAGCTATGCTGTAAATTTGATATGTCCTTGAGCTGCATGTAATCGAACTCGAAGGTTTTTTCCTAACAGATAGCCTTTTTTTCCTTGAGCTATGCTGTAAATTTGATAGGTTCTTGAGTTGAATGTAATCGAACTCGATGGTTTTTTGTTGATAGATAGCCCTTATCGCTTTGAGCTATGCCATAATAGGCTGGAAGATAACCCCCTTTATTGTAGATGACTCGTTTGCTGTGAAACTGAGTTAATACACTTGGGCACGATATCTTTCGTCGTGAAGTTGAAATCATGGATGGCTCATTCGTTGTGAAGTTGAGCTTTGAATTGGATATCCTTCGTTGTGAAGTTGAAATCCAATCTTATGTAAATTACGTTGTTTCGAGTCCAATATCCTTCGATGTGAAGTTGAAATTGACTCCGAATGAAATTGGAAAGTTTTTTGTTGACAAATAACTTTTCTCGACTTAAGTTGTGCTGTAAATTTCCTCTAAATGAAGGATGGCCCCCATTCACGGGCCTAAGTCGATCGTAAATCTTTAGATGACTCCCCTTCATGGGAAAGCCTAATGATAAATTCTGTCAGTCGGATATCATCCTTCGTGGAGTTGAAATTTGGCTTGAAAACGTTAACTGGAAACTAGCCACTCATTTTTGAGTTAAGCTGAACTGGATCCACTCTAAATTGGCTCTTGAACCCATCTGAAGTTGATTCTAAGATCTGTCAATCTTTCAATATGTCATGTTGGTTTAGGTGTAGCTTCCTACTGCTAAGTTAAGCAACCACCATCGATTTTTTTAAAGGTGCTTTTGAATCGAATATATTTCTTCTTGAAGTTGAAACCTCACTCCAGAGCTACAAAAATTATGCATGTGAAAAATAATAAATGTAATGCTCTTAAGTATGTCTAAGATGCATGCAACATGAATTAGTTCTGTTTTATCTCTTGGATGGAGCCTCATTTTGTCTGTCGGTGTTTTCCTCGGAATCGACCATGCCCCATTTTCTTCTCGGGTTGCAACCTTTCACATTTGAGAATGTCTTGTTTGAAAATAATTTTCTCCTTTCTCTTATTTTAGGAGGGAAAAAAAGATATAGAATATAAGAATTCTGTAAAACATTGCCAATTAATTTAGGCTCACAATCGAATCAAATCATAAACACGAGTTCACAGAAAATCAAAAGATTCAATAGCTCTTTAATGCTTTCAGAGTTATAGCTCTTTTACAAATATCCAGGTTGACGAGTTGGTTTCAGGTTGGCTTCCTATTTCTTAAGGTTTCGGCAGCCAAATTGTCATTTCTTTTTTTTTTGAACATCGTAACATGCCCTGCTTTCTCGGCTTGGCATTTTAATCGGATGCGGACAAAATGATGAAACTAGAATAATCAATTACTAGACCTTCTATTTCGGTTCTCTAAAATCTTCCATTTGTTCAAGCTTCGTAGACCCCTCTAACAAAGGCAGTACCGAAATATCGATCTAAAAATGAAATTCTTGATTGCTTGTGTTAAATTAACTATAACAGATGTTCCTTAACTCCCTTAGTCCATCTTTACCGAAACTCCTTATTTAGATAATTTTGATTTAATTTGCCATTGTCTGGCTAGCTGAATCCATAAAGCCGGGGCTTTTAACCAATTGCTCTAGAGGGGCAACTCAATATTATAATCACCTTTATCAGGTTAACTGAAGGGCTCGTCTCATCACAAAGGCTTCGACCTGACAATTGTAGTGGAATAAACACCAAATCGCCAAGTGTCCGAGAAATGTTATGGTTTGAATGCAATTTATTCATAAAGCCAGGGCTTTTGAGTTTCCTCTATAACCAATTGCCTTAGTGGATAGCTCAGCTTTATGAATTCAATTTCTTAAGTTTGTCTAGAAGAATCTGTTATAGTCTATGTGTTGTTGAAAGTAAAAAAATCTCATCTTTAGAGTTCAATTTTTAAGCAACTGACCTAAACTAGATTCACCTACTCTACTATCCCATCTGTAAAGATCATCATCATCATTGAACGTCCTAAACA